GCAACTCAATCTGCCTGCTTTGCAACCCGTTACTACATGCCGGCAGCTCTATTTGGAAGATGACGTTTCACGGAGAAATGGGATGGTAATTTTAGAACAATAACCAAAAGAATTTGCTGAACAACAACAAAAAGATCAAGCTCCTACTTCATGACAGGATTTGATGACCTACATTGCAAGCACAGATTATGTTTATAATACTGAATATGCAGAGACTTCTGGTTTGCAGGGCTTTGCCGGCAGGCAGGAATCCGCGATCGTGCGTGGTTTCTGCCTGGGCTCACCGCTGGAGCGCCCTGAGACAGCTGGCTTCGGGGCTAAGCCACCCCGTAGAGGTGGTGAAGAGGGGGGAGATTCCAGCAGGGTCGAGGAAAGCCGCATCTTTCCTCCTCAGCTGGCTAAACTCCCTTTCCCGAAGGCGGTAAGAGCGGCGGTCAGAAATGGCCGCCTCAAAGAAGCACTCATCTGGAAAAGAAAGTGCAGGAGGAAGCTAAGAAGTGAAAGTTTTGGCTGACTGGGATAAGAAGCAACAACTAAGGTATCCTGGAATTTAAATTTTATAAAAGATACATCGCTCCCAAAGAAGATTCGGAAGCAGCAAATGAAAGTGAAAAGGGAATTTTTTTTTTCACTCTCCTTCCTTATGTTGACAGTGAAGAGAGATGAATGAGAAATCGGAAAAATCCGCTTTGGCATCAATAGGTAATTAAACTGGAAATATAATTAAATGCCAAGGGGACAATAAAGATTTCTGAACACTAAAAAAAAAATTTTTTTTTGCTATAAGTGGGAAGGGAGAGGAAAAGAATAAGGGCAGGATTTGGAGGAGTCTGCCTGGAATTTAAAAGAATCTAAAGTTAAATCTTAATAAGACTTCTAAAAGATACATTTTAACTAGAACTTTGCAACTAAATAGCAACCCCAGGAAGAGAAAGTGAAAAAAAGAAGAAAGTGTTAAAAGAAACAGCTTGTGTGTATTTGGATTGTTTGGTGACTTTGGGACTTCTGGAAATTTTATTTGAATGACTAAGAACAATTGGGTGGTTGTTTAAAATTTTTTACAATGGCATCACTTGTGGACGAACTGAAAATGGAATTTAAAAAATATAAAGAAGAGGAACAAGAAGGGAAGGGCTCCTTTGGCTCCGTTTTTCAATTCTTAGAAATGGCGATCTGTGCCTACGAGAAACTACAAGAAAAGACTGCGCAACAAGAAGATTGGGACAAAGAAGAAGCCATCTTCAATGAACAAGTAACTTTATCTGGGGAAGAAAGGGGAAAGGGGGGAAAGAGAATGGAGAATTCAAGACCTAAAAAAACAGCCAAAAAAGGGAAAAATGTGAAAAGTGGATATAATGTTAGAAAGCAACAGAAAAGGGGAACACAGAAGAGGGAAATGGAGGTGGAGAGACAAGGGGCTAAAAAGTGGAGAGAGAAGAAGCAAGGGAGAAAGGAAGGGAAGAGAAGTTACAAAGGTTTGGAGCAAGATGTAAAAAAACAGGACTTATTCAGAGATAATGGGTGAAAAATTAACTGAAAAAGCGATTCTGCAAAGGTACATTAGATTGTATTGTTATATTAGTATTAGAAATAATGTTAGAAAATTGGTAACAACATATGATTAAAAAGTGGGATAAAATAGTCAGTGTAATTGAGTGAAATTTTTGTGAACAAAATAAATGAAATGAAATAAATGAGAGAATTGAATTAGGAAGGAATGGGAACATTTTAATTACTCAATGTTTTATAAAATATAAATGAAGTGGGGGGGAAGTAACTATGGAAAGTTTATAAGTGTTCCCATAGAAGCATGATACCTTTTTGAAAAGTAATGTGTAAAATGTTTAAGATTTAAATGAATATTAATATTAACGATAGAATTGAACTGGTATGGATTGTTGTTTTAATTATATAATATATTCATAATTTTTTCTTTTTTTAAAATATAGTGTGTAGTTTTAGAATGTACCAAGCAGAATCTGAATGGAAGCTATGTATTATATTAAATGTTATAATTTTAGGGGAAAGATATAAAGGCGGCATACTCTAATTCAGGGATCCCCAACCACCGGGCCGCGGACCGGTACCGGTCCGTGGAGCACTCTGTACCGGGCCGCAAAGGAAAAAAAATAAAAAAAATGGCGGCTTTCTTCGCCTTCGGTGAATGCTGCTGGGATCGGGGATCAAGGACACAAATGAGAGAAGGGGAGGGAGGAAGCAACCGAAGCCTGCCCTGCTCTCTGGCTCAGTGGCTTCGGCTTCCTCCCGCCTCATTCCTCTCTCAGTCGCTCTCTCGCTCCTCCACCAGCCCAGGAAGAAACTGCTTCAAAGAAGCCAGGGGGGGTGGCTTTTCCTGTCGGCGCAGCTCCTCCGAAGCGCCCGTTTCACCCCCACCCTGCCAATCAATCCAGGTTCAATCCAGTGCTCCGTTCTGCCTGCCTGCCTGCCTTCGTTTCTGGTAGTTTCGGAGCAGCTTCGGCTGAGAATAATAACTATTCGCCTCTTTTTCTCAGCCGAAGCTGCTCTGAAACTACCAGAAACCAAGGCAGGCAGGCAGGCAGGCAGAACGGAGCACTGGATTGAACCGCGGGCAGCAGGGCGAGGCGGGGGTGAACGGGCGCTTCGGAGGATCCGAAACCACCAGAAACGAAGGCAGGCAGGCAGAA